CAAATATAACTCCGATGGCACCGTGGAGCGGTTCAAAGCCCAGTTGGTGGTACTTGGCAACCATCAACGTGCAGGTATTGATTATACTGAGACTTTTGCTCCTGTTGCGAAAATGGTGACTGTTCGCATGTTTTTAGCTGTCACCTGCCGCTAAGAATTGAGAGTTACATCAAATGGATGTGCACAATGCCTTTCTTCACGGTGACTTAGGCGAGGAAGTGTACATCAAACCACCACCTGGATTTTATCCCTCACGGCCGTCCACAGTATGCCGTTTGAAAAAATCCTTATATGGATTGCGTCAGGCACCCAGATGCTGGTTTGCAAAGCTGGCCGCAGCTTTGCGTGATTATGGTTTCTGTCAATCCAAGGTTGATTACTCTCTGTTCGTTTATAGTCAGGGAGCCGTGCGTATGCATATTTTAGTTTATGTTGATGACCTTATACTTGCAGGGAATGATTCTGATGCATTGCGTGCCTTTAAGCAATATTTGCACAATTGTTTTCATATGAAGGATTTGGGTCCTCTTAAATATTTCCTGGGTATAGAAGTAGCTCACAGTAGCGACGGTTTGTTTCTTTGTCAGAGAAAATATACACTTGACATTATTTCTGAAGCAGGTCTACTTGGTGCTAAACCCGCCCCATGTCCAATGGAGCAGAATCATAATTTAGCTCTTGCTACTGGCGAGTTACTTGCCAACCCCGAATCCTAACGCCGACTCGTGGGGAGGCTTATCTACTTATCTTTTACTCGCCCGGACTTGGGATATGCCGTTCACATTTTGTCTCAGTTCATGCAGGCTCCCCGACAGGACCATTGGCATGCAGCTCTGCGTGTTGTACGATATCTTAAAGGGGCACCTGGTCAAGGCATTCTTCTTTGCTCCTTATCTGACTTGCAACTCTCGGCCTGGTGTGATTCGGATTGGGCTAGTTGTCCTCTTTCCCGCCGATCTCTTAGTGGTTGGGTAATTTTTCTTGGAAGTTCTCCTGTCTCGTGGAAAACAAAGAAGCAACATACGGTCTCTAGGTCCTCTACCGAATCCGAATACAGGTCCATGGCCGCGGTTACTGCTGAGCTCAAATGGCTCAAAGGTCTTCTTCTCTCCCTCAGTGTTACCCACCCGCGTCCTGTCTCTTTATTCTGTGATAACCGCTCTGCGCTTCATATTGCTCAGAACCCTGTATTTCATGAACGCACTAAGCATATTGAGGTTGACTGTCACTATGTCCGTGACGCTATTCAGGATGGTTTTCTCACGACTTCTCACGTTTCCACTACGGATCAATTGGCAGACATCTTTACCAAGGCCCTTGGACATCGACAGTTTCTCTATTTACTTAGCAAGTTGGGCATCTTCAATCCCCATGCTCCAACTTGAGGGGGGGTGTTATCGGGCTTTGTGTATTTATTTAAATTAGTTTTAATTATTTAAGTTAACGGGCCAAGGGCTCACTTTAGCATCTATAAATATTGCACATTCCAAAGAGATCAATAACACAATCAATCTTTACTCCCTAAATATTTTCTTCCTACGGCTAAACATCTCCAGCCGAACACTGGTCCTGATGGGATAAAGGCCCTGTTCAAAATCAAATAGGAGCCCTAAACTATAGAGTATATAATATATAAAAATTAAATACATGTAAAACTAAAATACAAATACATTTATAAAAAGATAATCAAAAGTATCAAAGTCAAATACTTAGTAATATATTTTGAATTTAAACAAGATTTTGCTTAAAAAATATCTATCTATAAAATTATTTCCATTTATTTGAAAAAAGTTTCCAGATTTCTAGAACCACTTATGTCTAAATGGATAAAATAAAGAATTCAAAGGGCATAACCCGTATTGAATTTATCGTTTTCTTCCAATTCTCAAAGGCAGCTTCAAACATACTAGTGCGAATCAATTAAATTATTACGATAGTATTATTTTCCCTAAAGACCCAATATTTGGAGGCCCTTCATCACATGGGGCCCTGTGCGGTGGCTCCTGTTGAACACCCTCAGGGCCGGCCCTGCTTAGAATTAATTTAAATCGCAAATTCACAACTGTATTAAAAAACCCGTTCATATTATGTACAAAACTGTGATTGTCAAAGATTATGAACCATATGTGAAACTAAAATTGTAATGATATTGATGTAGTTTAGATCTTTTCAACAAGAAAAAGTAAAAACAATTATGTAAAGGTACATTGAAATTATTTAAGCCTTCAAAATGGCTAAAGCAGAAACAAATTACAAGAACTAGACCAAAGCTAGCTTTGACCCCTTGATGCTTTTTATGCACAATGCTCGTACTTATTTTCTAAACTCTATATTTAACACTCAAGTGAAAATGTATAGAAAAATGCACTAGTGATCTCATCTTATGAGAACAAGATCCCAATCACGGGCAATTTTTTAATTTTTTGATTTAGTAGGGGGGTTTTGCTATTTGTTCCTCAGGTTGTTTTCTTATTTTATTTTTTCTTTTTCCTCTTTTTTGTTTCCTTTTTCTATTTGTCCTCTTCTCTTTTTTCTTTGCATTCTCCTTGTACTCCTATTTGATTTTTCATTAATATAATTTATGTTATTGCCAAAAAAAACATATATATGTATAATTTGAATTGAGTATATATAGGGATTGAGTGGGGGTTGAGAGGGGGAAACTACCCTCCCTTCCCCCTCCCTAGATACGAACCTGGGAATGTGTGTCTTCACACAAATTAAATATTTGATTCCTTTGAGGGTACCGTATTAGGGCCTATTGTTTTTGCAACCCTAATGCATATATCATCCCCGCAACACCTATATATAATTCCTATAAATAGGAGTCTCATATGAGAGGAATGGAGGAGAGAATTCCTAGACGAAGAAACGTTGCAGAGAAGCTTTTAAGAATTTTTGATAGGCTCTGAAGAATTCCAAAGAAGGAGAAGAAATCAAGCCACATATTTTATTAAAATTATACGAATAATCCTTTGTCAAGAAACAAAGATTCGAAGATCTCAAGAACACAGACTTGAAGATCTGAAGAACGTTCGAATTTGAAGGATTAAAGATTTAGTTTCAAATTAAATTCTTTAATTATATTTATTTCAAATTGCAAGTGAAGAATAAGAGGATTCATATTTGAAGATTGAACCCAATATTGTCATATACTACGTATTATATAATTTGTGATCGGTTTTAGATAAATACTTAAAATTTGTTTCATAATAATCCTTATCAAACATATTATAATGTATAATCACTATATATCATACTTCTAAAATCAACTAATATGGTAAATAAAGTTAAGTTGTTGACTGATATATCTAAAATGGTTTTAATTAAAATCGAAAATCATATAGAATTATATACGATAGTATCATAGAACTGATAACAGTCCCTTTTATTGTTTGGTAATAATGGGAGCCCCGTGAATCCGTGATGAATGTTTGAGTGATGCCATCCACACATGCAGGATATCAACTACTTATTCAATCGGGGTGTGGTACTAGTTTGACTATATATTTCAGCTTCATCTAGTTTTGGTTGATGTAAATATATTCACCTTTTCCTATTTTTGTTTAAAATATTATATTTGTGTTAACATCATGAGAGGATTATTAGTTTAGAATCTTAATATAACGTTTATGATTTATAGCAATCCAATGTGTGATAAATAGTTCAACAGTCTGCCATGATCCAGTTTTAATATATATTTGCCTTTTAGTAGCTAGCTTTTTGTTGAATAAACGATTAGTAACATCAACCACAATTTTAACATATTGTTTTTAGCAAAAGAGATCAGATCATAATGAATTGAACATGAATATGTTTACTCCGTATGATTTATGCAAAAGACGTATAAAACTGTGTACTATTATGTTTAAGATTCCTAAGAATCTAAGATATTAAAGTTATTCAATTACGTAGTGTAAATTCACTTTTTAACAATTTAATTTTACTTATTCATTTCAATTGAACATAACACGGAGTAGTGGTTTTAAACTTTTAATAACAAAGGGGCTTGAACTCTTTCGGTGTGTCAGCAGAGCCCGTCAAGGCGGAGTTCTATGACCCGCCGAACACGGCACCTTACTTAAATGAAGGGCAGGGATTAAAATTCAGGCTTCAAGATTTGTGTCAAAAATGGACCCACATACTGATCTTATACCATTGCTTTTTAGATCTGATGGCTACAAATGGCCACGCACCCTCCTTGCCTGCCAAAGCAAGGAAGACTGGCAGAGGACTTGGATGACTGGACCCGTTATATAGACCGGACCATGGAATTCAGGTGAAACGTCTCGTCCGCACAAAGTGGGCCAGGCAGCTGCCCCCAACCCCACCCAACACTTAGGATGTTTTCTTTTGGAATGAAATTCGCTGGTCTGATCTGGTCTGGTCTGGTCTGGTCTGGTAAATGTCTAATCTTTATGTATTTTATAACTATGAAAGTCTTGTCTGTTCTAGTCTGGTCAGATCTGGTAAATGTCTGGTCTCCGTGTATTTTATAACTATGAAAGTCTTGTATGGCCTGATCTGTTTAAGTCCGATCTGGTCTAGACTAATTTGTTTAATTCTGATCTGGTCTGTGATTGAAAATGGTCCAAAACATAACATTCTTATACACACACAATGGGGATCTTTCATGTTTGTCTAAAGGCGTTTCACCCCCAAAATGCTGAAATACCAACAGGGCCATGATGCATATTGTACATATTTGAGCTTAAATGATTTCTATTTACATTGGATGGCTAGATTATTTGCTAAACATATCTATATCAAAACAATACTCCGTATAAAACAATACAAAACAGTGTCAAAATGGTATACTCTACCGTGAAATGTGTGACAAAATTATACCACAAATTTAACCCTCTTTGCGATACACCGTAAAAGTAACTCTAACCTTACTTTTTCCGCTTATTACACAATTCAGCACGTGAGAGTAAAAGTTACGTGTTTGGTGAAAAGATTAACTGATAACCCTCGTATGCCGAAAAAAAAAGTGTTGTCAAACAGGCTCTATATTCTCTAAGTTATTAAATTGACCTTTTAAAATATGGAATCTTGCATTAATATACATCACCCTCTTGATATGCTATTCTCTAATAATCAACAGCCAATTGATTAAAAGGAAAGTGACATTAAATTTTACATATAAAAATTTTTCACTGGTGGGCGTAGCTCAACTGGTAGCAAGGGAGTGCCACAAGGGTTAGGTCTCGGGTTCGAATCCCGGTAACTGCGATGAGGGGTTACTATGCTGAAAAATGCATAGGGCCTCTGCAAGTACCGGGGACAGAGCCCCACTCTCTATCTGTCAGATTGTGATTATAGTCCAATTTACATCCTCCCATCGTGCTGTCCGGTCGGTGTTGGGGAGCCCTCAGGGATGGGGTGTCATCCTTTTTTCTCTAATAATCAACAGCCAACGCAACAATTTTTCTTTTTGGCAAAAAATGACACTTCAACCACTTCCTCTACTTTGCTCACATCTCTGCTTTGCTTCTTTTTGCATCGTTCCCTACCTATACCCCCCCCCCCCCCCCCCCCCCCAAGATTTACAGATCTCGTCCCATTTCTTCTTGTCTCTTTCTTTTTCCTTTCGCTCTTTCTTTTTGTTTTCGTTTTGTCCGCAGCTCCGATACAATAATTGGAGTTTGATTTAGGAAACATAGTATACATAATAAAGCTGGGGTAAGCTTGGATATGGGTTCAGTTGGGCTTCCCAAACCTCTGCCACCATATGTGTATGATAGCAGCGGCGGCCATGGCGGTTGTTCAGAAATGATCTGCACCAAAAATTGTCTTCAATGGTGCATCAACCTCCTTCCTCCGCCACCGTCCGATGACGATTCCGGCCCCAATTTCTCCCCCCTCATCATAGTCATCATCACCATTCTGGCAAGTGCTCTGTTCTTCGTCACCTTCTACACCGTATGCACCAACTACACCAGAAGAAGACGGCGGAGGCGGCAGCGAGATTTGGAAGCAAATCGCGAGGAAACTCCGCCGGTGGCCGTTCCGGCGGAAGATGCGGCGGAAATCGTTAAGAAGAACATAAAGGTTTTCAAGTACAAGAAACCCTGCGCCGGCGTCGGCGGCGGAGACGGAGGAGGTGTCCAAGTCCAGGACACAGAGTGCTCTGTTTGCTTGGCGGAGTTTGTGGAAGACGAGAATCTTAGGTTGCTGCCTAAGTGCAGCCATGTCTTCCACCTCCTATGTATTGACACGTGGCTGAAATCCCAACCCAGTTGCCCGATTTGTCGCGCTAACGTTGTCTTAATCGATCCATCTCCGTCGCCGGCGCCGGCGCCGGCAACGGCAGCTCCGGCCTCCACTTCTCGAGACAACTGAAGATGATATGTACCAGTTTTGGAGCTCATCAAGAGATCAGCTTGTAGATGATAAACAAGATCAGAGTTTTGATACCAGAAATTGGGGTTCATCATATCTTCAAGAGGATTGGCCTAATTGCTATACATTAATGGTGGGTTTTGTATAATTTTTATATTTAAAGAGATAAGAGTGTATATTTAATCAATGTGCCAAGTTGAAAATGGCCTGATGGAAAAATCATGGATTTGTAGTTATAGATATGCCAAGTTATATTTTTGTGCTGATATGACTATTAGAGCATCTTCAATGGTACAATGTGCACGGTGCACACGTGACATGAGAGATGACCACATAAATATTAGTATATAAATTATTTCTCTCCTTATTTAAATGATTTTATACAGTTTTGGTAAGTTTTTGTCCACAATGTCAATGAGACCGTCTAATGTTGACATTGTTGTTGACATTGCAGGGAAAAACTTACCAAAATTGTATAAAATCATTCAAATAAGGAGAGAAATAATTTATTTGCTAATACTTATGTGGCTATCACTCATGCCACATGTGCACCGTGGACATTATAGCATTGGAGATGCTCTTAGTGTATGTGATGTTGTCTTCTTTTGCATATAAATATATAATCATCCTAATTTTGATCTCTTTAAAGAAGGCTGCAGGTTCCATCAACTGATAGAATATCAAATGATTCATTAAAAGAGTGTTTGTGATTGCTTGTATGTAAGAAAAACGTTTTTTTAATCATTTTAGAGAAAGTGCATAAAAGGTGATAGTATTATGTAAGAACCATAATAAAGATTGATCAATAAATAATTTAAGTAACTGGTAAATGTATACGGAGTGTAAAGAATAGTTAATTATGTAATGGAGGTGAAATTTTTCTTGAAGCAAGATTGTATTTTTTAGGAGTGGGCGCGGTCTGGAGCGGTCCGGTAAATTAGCAAAACCCGTAATGTACCCGTGAGGTTTCAAACGGTACGGTACGATTTTAAGGATGGAACCATTCAGTACAATGTTGTTTTGGAACGGTACAAAACGGTTCAGTACAATGCTAAACACATGCCGAAACATTCGGATAAATCTTGTAATTAGTAGATATCATTACACTGGCCAAACCACATAAAAAGTTGATAAAAATACAAGAACGTGCATACTAAATACTAGAAAATATTCAAGAGGCTGACATTTTTGTATTTAAATTCACAAATACTCAAATAGTGCAACACAACTAAGTAAAAATATAGCAAAATGAGGATACACTAGTATAATATCATCTTTATTAAATTCATTTGGAAATATTAAAAGAATATCATTAAAGTGTTAAATATAAGGAAAAATTGATAGTAATAATCCCAACTATTGGCGGTCCGCTCATAATAATCCCAACTATTGATTATTACAGAATAATCCCAACTTTAGGGACCTTCCGCCAATAATGGTCCCTATGAATAAATTCTTGTAGTTTCTAAAGTGGATGAGATGAGATGTAACAAGTAATCCCTATAAATAATCTCAATTTTTAATTTTTACGCTTAATTTCTATGTAAAATTTACTTTTTATAGAGGTAATATATGGTCATGGACCATTATTGGCGGATAGTCTACATAGTTGGGATTATACAAAAATAATCAATAGTTGAGATTATTTTCAGCGGACCGACAATAGTTGGGATTATTATTTTCAATTTTTCCTAAATATAATAGAAAATTTAAACTTTCCATCATTTGCAATGAAGCCAATAATTCAATTTTTTTTGCTTGATCATATGATGGAATAAAGCAAAATGACTCACTAAACTGTCTGCTCTTCTTTGTTATGAAGTACGGAGTAGTAGTCAGTCCATGCAATTTTGGATGCGATTTTCACTATGGGTCATCTGGAAACAGTCTCTATGTGCTTTAGTACAGGAGTAAGACTGCGTACATCCCCCCTTACCACACCGTAGGTGGGAGCCTTTGCGGCACTGGGGTAAATGAAAATGAAATGAGAAAATTTAAAGTTCGTCTTTGTTCTAAGTTGAATCATATTTGTGTAGTTTTGCTTAATGATATTCTATTATTAGTTGTATTTTGTTCTAATTTAAAGTGTTATATTTTGTTTATAATGAAAGAATGCTAAAGTTCTAAAAATCATTAATGACTATTAAAAATCATTAATGACTACTAAAAATCATAAATGACCGCGCCCACCCCTACTTTGTACATTCTTTCTTCACTTTTTGTTGGCATCTATTCTTTCACATAGTCACTAATGATTTTAATAGTCATTAATGATTTTTAAAACTTTAGCATTCTTTTATTATAAACAAAATATAACATAAATTGTCTAAAAAAACATAACAATATTTATATAACACACACTTGGCTATTTTAGGGATGCATGAGTACATACTTGGGCTATAAAATTGTTGGTCTATAAACGATATTTATTGGTATGGAAAAATATAAAAATCTCAAACAAATTATTTTTGAATGGTCCGGTCCGGTATTTTTCGGTTCTCAAAATCTAGGACCGGTCTCGTACCCGTTTGAAACGGTACGGTTTCGGTTCGGGATAAAATTCTATAGAACCGTTTAAATACCCAATATTCGGTTCGGTACCATTACGGGCCGGTTCGGTTCGAGTTTTATGCCCACCCCTAGTATTTTTATTGGGGCCAAAATTATACGGAGTACGTACTATTTTAATCGGGGGAATGTGCTTAGATTGCCATTAAGGATACTTTTATTAATCGGGGGAATGTGCTTAGATTGCCATTAAGGATACTTTTAATTGGACCGTTGTTTTCTTGATATAATATGATTCAGAAATTGCCCTAAATAGGAGTAAAAACGTTTTTAAATTTCAAAATAGGAGTATCATATTTTTATTCCTTAAATAAGAGTAATCTGCCAAGTTTGGAAAAAAATGTCATGTTTAAAATCTTGTAATGCCAAACTTGGCAGAAATTTACTCCTATTCATTTAATAAAAAACATGATACTCCTATTTTGGAATTTCAAAACGTTTTTACTCCTATTTAGGGAATTCTCTCCATATGATTTAGTCTGATCTAGTATGATTTGTTTTAATATGATCTTATCTGGTCATAGACTTAAAATTATCCAAATAAAAACATTGCGTATATACTATCGTGGACCGGAGATATCCAAATCGGGGGCCTAGTTTGTTAGATTAGTTCTGGTCCATGACATTGTTTACATGGACTCTTTTTTTATACATAGCCTTATATTGTGAAGGATTCTTTTGATTCATTATTTTTTACATATGCTAGCTAGTTTATCAAACAAGCTCATCTCTCTATTTGAAAATGAGTGAAAAAATAAAGTTTAAAGTGTCTCACAAAACACTATGTACTTTTCATAAAATAGAAAAGGTGAAAATATTATAAAAGTTCATATCTGATCCACCTGATTAGCATTATCAATTGTTTGTAAACATTTTTTCTTCTTCTAAAACTAAAACAGAATAAACACTTTCTGTAATGAAAACACCTCCCTTAATCTTTCTGTGGCGTGATTTATTTATTTATTTATTTGATCAAAGTTACAATAGGTAGTCGGCCACTGGAATCTTTGGTCGGTTTTGATGGAGAATATAATCTATTTTTTTCACCTAAAATAAGTAGCCTAGTGGAGTAAATTAACGTGGAATTGTCACGTCTTTCTTTTTGGCGAGACATGACCAGGTTCGAATAGAATTTAGGACGAATTTCAACAGTAAAATTACTAACCTTTTCTTCCTCGGTTTGACGGTTTCAGTCTAGACACATGCTCCCCCACAGAAAAGTCGGCCTATTCAACTTTTTAAGTTATTTTATTCTCTCTATGTAGTGCATGTACATGAGTTGTTTATGTACGTACACAAACAATAGTATAACGAGTGTACAAAAATAGCGTATATCAAGAATTGCTTCTCTATTTTCAATAATGGCTAAAGATGGAAAGTAATTAAAAGGATTTTATAGGAAAATTTTGACTCCTATAAAACTAAATCCTATAAAACTAAAATTTATGGGATTTTATTGATCGCAAAAACTAATAAAAAGTCGCTAATACTGTTTTGCGACTGCAATCCGGTCGCTAGACAGTTTCTCTATAGGCCTCGCCGCTAAAACTTTTTTGCGACCGGGAAAAATGCTCAGTCGCTAAAACTTATTGGGACCGCTTAAGATCATGTCGCTAATGATATTATTTGAGACCAGCTATTAAGAGTAATTGCGGCTACTTTAGTACTTTCCCTTCGCTAAATTATAGTCCAAGAAGCGATTATACAATGAATATAATTTTTTATTCTTTTAATTAATTGATGAAAACATAATATATATTACGGAGTATATAATAATGTATGATGATCGATGATAAAAAAATGTATGATGTCCGAAACGATTAATAGAATGATGCAACAAAATTCACAAATAACCAATTCAATTTGTAGTACAATTCAAAACAACGTAGCTAGGCATCAATTTGATAATCATCATATCTGTTATATCTAAGCTACATACAAAGTGTATCTCAAAATACGTATGCAAAAAAATGTCAAGTTTGAACAATGCTCAAACTTCATTGTAGCACCAAACTTCATTTCAAGGCCAGGTTATGTAGCAGCAAACTTCATTTCAAGGGTTACGCAGCTGCAAACATCATTTGAAGTATCTCTTTAATTGTTTGGAGCTCATCTTCAATTCTAGTACACTAACACAATTTTTCATGCATCGGTTTTCTTCTTCTCAGGGGCGGATCCAGGGGCGGATCTACTCATGGCTGAGTGGGGGCAGCTGCCCCCAATAAGGGCACACTAAATTCCTTGAATTTCTTTATAAATTTTAAAATTCTAAATTGTTGCCCCCAATTAAAAAAATGGGTTGCCCCCAATAATATGAGATTCCCTGCCCATCCCAGCCTTAAGAGGCAAAGGTTAGCCGCACAACGTTAATGGATATAAACCTCTTTACCATATTTTAATTTTTATTTTATCAATTAATCAATTTGTTGTTGGTTTGTTGACTTTCATTGCCTCTAATGGTTGGATACTTGTTTAGTTGTTTAATCTTTCGATCCGTACGTTATCATAGTGTTGTTTACTTATTTAAGCTCATACATTACTTCATTCGTTCCTTACAATTTTGCCAAATTTGGCTGGCATGGAAAATAATAAAGTAAAAATCGTGTGATTAAGGTTTGTGCAAATGAGAGAAAAATAACAGAAATCAAAAATTAATTGATTAAAAGAAAAGTGACAAAGTTTTTGGGACGGACAAAAAAAAAGATGACAAAGTTTTAATGAACGGAGGAAGTAGTTTTAACTTCTATATAGATATTAATATTAAATAATATTATTAAACTACTTATGATGTTGCTGATTTGGTTGAAATTGCTAAAGTTCTGGCTGAAGTGCTGAATGGACATAATTCATCGAATTATTGAAAAATTATGTCCTAAATATATTTTATTAATGAAATAAATAAAAGATTATATGTAAAATGAAAAAATGATCATCTACAATAACTTCAGCTAATTCAGTCACAAAAATAAATTCAATCTTATATATCCTAATTATTATTCAATTCAGCGCGTGTCAAATATTATGTGTTTTATAAAAAAAAACTAGCTGGCAAAATTGAAAAGACAAAAGTAAGAGGTCACAAATATTGAGTTTTTTACCTAAATATTACCATTAGT